CGCCCTACAATTCGTAGAAAACCTCCCAGAACTAACAACCCTAGTCTCCACTCCATCAGACCCAGTGGAGCTAGATGTACAAACCGACTATTTAGAAAATACCTTCCGATCTACTTTAGAAAATGTGGCGCCACTTAAATTCAAAAGGATAAGGCAGAAAAAGCTCGCCCCGTGGTACGATGATAAAACCTGTACCTTAAAACAAACAGTACGGAAACTAGAGCGGAAATGGCGATCAACCAAGCTGGAAGTGTTCCATTTTGCCTGGAAGGAAAGCCTTATAGAGTATAGAAATGCTCTCACTAAAGCTCGCTCAGCATATCTGGCCTCGCTGATCGAGAATAATAAATATAATCCTAGAGTACTGTTTAGTGTGATTTCCAGAATTACAAAAAATCAGGCAGGTACTGAACACAAATTCCGGCGGTTTTTATGGACTTTTTTAATAATAAAATCGAAAATATTAGACAACAAATTCAGCCCACAGTATTAAATCTAACTTGGCTGTCATCTGATGTGGCTGATATAAAACATAACATAGTTGCAGAAGAAAGGCTTGAAACTTTCTACCGACTCCCACAGCTAGAACTAGAGAAGATTATCTCCTCTGCAAATTGCACAACCTGCACACTTGATGCAATTCCCTCAAAATTACTCACAGAAGTACTACCAGTTATCATTAATCCTCTTTTAACTATAGTAAACTCGTCCCTTAGCCTGGGCCATGTACCCAAAGCTTTTAAACTAGCAGTTATTAAACCTCTGATCAAGAAACCTAACCTTGACGCTAGTGTATCGTCTAATTATAGGCCTATTTCTAACCTACCATTTATATCTAAGATCTTAGAAAAAGCTGTAGCCCAACAACTTAGTTCATATCTACATAAGAACCACATTTATGAAAAATTCCAATCTGGATTCAGGCCACATCACAGCACTGAGACAGCTCTAGTTAAGATAACAAATGATCTTCTTCTTGCCTCTGATCAAGGCTGCATATCCCTGTTGGTGCTACTTGACCTCAGCGCAGCTTTCAATACGATAGACCACAATATTCTCCTAGAAAGGTTAGAAAACATGGTTGGAAACACAGGGACAGCCCTATCGTGGTTCAAACTTCCTCCTTCTAAACAGTAACAAAACAGAGGTTGTCCTTCTGGGTCCAAAAGTGGCAAGAAATAAATTATCAGATTTAATTTTAAATCTCGCTGACTTTCCAGTTATACCTGGTTCAGCAGCAAAAAATCTTGGTGTCATAATTGATCCAGATTTATCATTAGATCAACACATAGGCAGTATCACCAGAACAGCTTTTTTACATCTTCGCAACATCGCCAAAATAAGAAATGCCTTACCGCTGCATGATGCAGAAACATTAGTACATGCCTTTATTACTTCAAGGCTAGACTATTATAACGCACTTTTGTCAGGATGCACCAGCAGGAATTTAAGTAAACTTCAACTAGTTCAAAATGCTGCAGCCAGGGTTCTCACTAAAACTAGAAAATTTGATCAGATCAGTCCAGTTCTATCATCACTTCATTGGCTGCCTGTTAAATTCCATATTGATTACAAAATTCTTTTATTGACGTATAAAGCCCTACATGGGCTCGCTCCTGAGTACCTGCAAGACCTTATTTCCCATTACGAGCCACCACGATTACTCAGATCACAGAGTGCTGGCTTTTTAATAGTTCCCAGAATTCAGAAGGCTTCAGCTGGGGGAAGAGCCTTTTCTTATAAAGCCCCCAAACTCTGGAATGATCTTCCAGAAAATGTTCGGGACTCAGACTCAGTCGCAATATTCAAATCTAGGCTGAAAACTCACTTGTTTAGTTTAGCTTTTGGTAGTTAATGTTTCCCCTTAGATAAAGGCAGCAGATCCAGGGGTCCATGGACGCAGGGAATTATAGTAAACTGAGACGCTGGTGCTGTCGTCCCGCCGCTCGCACGCGATCACTCAGGTTTGTGGATGGTGGAGCGGAGGGATGCCAGATTGTTTCAGGGTGCTCCCGTATCTGTGTCCTTTTGGTTCTCTCCTTTTAGTTAAGCTGTTATAGTCAGATCTGCTGGAGTCATTAGCCACACTCTGGAAATGTTTTACATATTATTATACATACACCCATACAGAACTAAACTAATTCCCAATCTCCCTACCTTTTTCCAAGTAAACGACTGCCCACCTGTCCGGCCGGACACTGATGGATGATTGTCTGTCGAGCTCTCCTGCTGCCTGCTTCAGACCAGTTGCCCACGCCCCAGTCACCACCACTTGCCCAGCTACCGCCACTTGCCTTGGACTAGCTGCCCACCCTACACTGAAGTTTTTATGGACTCCTAACTATTATTACTACTACTACTATTAATATTAGTAGAATAATAATTTTGTAGGTAGTTTGACCAGAGGAGGATGGGTCCCCCCTTGTGAGCCTTGGTTCCTCCCAAGGTTTCTTCCCCAGCTCTGAGGGAGTTTTTCCTTGCTACTGTCGCCACTGGCTTGCTCACCTGGAGGAGTTACATCTCATGTTAAAACTTTGTCCTTAATGGATTTCTGTGAAGCTGCTTTGTGACAACATCAAATACATTTGACTTGACTTGACTTGACATCTTCCAGACCTGAAAAGTGACACTACATGTAATTGTCTGAAAAACATCTTTGCGAGATGGGGATGTCCAGATGAGCTTGTTACAGACAACGGACCTCAATTCAGTGGGAGTCAGTTCAGACAGTTTGCTGCGGATTATGATTTTTTACATCACCACTAGCCCACACTACCCTCAGGCAAATGGAGAAGCTGAACGGGCTGTTCAGACAGCCAAGAAAATCCTGAGACAGAAAGATCCATTTCTTGCTCTGATGAGCTACAGGGCGATGCCCCTTCAAACAACAGGTTCAAGCCCTGCACAGCTTATGCTTGGACGACAGATCAAAACAACTGTACCTACACTGGAGAGAATTTTAGCCCCAAGATGGCCAGATTTCAGGCTGGTCAGGAGAAGAGATGAGTTCATGAAAGAGCACAATAAACTTGCGTTTGACAGACGACACAATGCACACTTGCTTCCAGCTCTCAGACCTGGAGAAGAGGTTGCAGTAAAACTGGATGGAGAGACCGGCTGGATTAAAACAGCAACCATACTTCAACAGCATTCAAGTCCACGATCATACCTGCTTGAGACGGAAAAGGGGACCCTCAGACGAAACAGACGTCATCTTTGTTCACTACCAGATTCCCAACCTGTTCAAGTGTCGGAAACAGGAGACTTAGAAACAAAAGAAGATAAAACTGAGCAACACCCTTCTTGTGATGCTTATAAGATCAGTTCCAAAGGCAGAGTCATTCGTTTCCCAGAAAAGTTTAAGGACTTTGTAGTTAAAACATAGCTTGCTACATGAGGCAGAATAATCCTCAGCAGCTATGGAGGTGACCGGCAGTCTACCTGGAAAATCCTCAAGTTAGGATCTTGCTGTGAAAAGATAAAAAAAAAGAAAAGAAAATATATATATTATTATGCATGTTTTATGTTATGCAAAGTTTAGTATGTGTTGTAGAATCTACAGCAATCCTTATTTACTCACCTGAATTCATGACTTATATATGTATTTGGTATTGAATACATGTAAAACTCAAAAGAGAGGGGGATGTAACGTAATGATCTTTAATATTGTCCTTTTTGAGCACTATTTACCTTACGTATCCATGCGCCCTGCGCATTACTACTAAAATAGCCCCGACTGAACAAGAGACCTCTCAGCAGCACACAACCTGTAAAAAAGAGAACAATAGCTCTGTTATCTAACGCTGTCCATAAAGCGAATAAAGTTCATGTTACTTACCTCGGTGTCCTCCTGCATAAGAAGAGCCATCTTACACTCACATCTCCACAGTAAGGCCCAATCCCATTTCACCCCTCGCCCCTACCACTTAGCCCTTAGCCCTCTGTTTTGCGCGTTTAGGTCTAGAGTTAGGGTGTCCTGATTTTTGTTGAGATAGAGGGGTAGGGTGGAGTGTTGGGCTACATGGCCCTCCAAACGACAAAAGTGATTTGTAAAATCTGAGTTAATGTGTGTGAGACTCCAGCACCAAACTAGAAAACAGCATTTCTAGAAGAAGAAATGTTAAACCAAACATGTTTTTGGTATTGAGGCTAACATCAGCACTGCTATGGGAAGTGAGTTAGCAGCAAACCAGTGCTGGAGTATCCAGCCAACATTGGACCCCCAAATACCAGGGGGTATTATGCACTCTGGTTACGAGTGTCACTCTGAGGTTTTTAAAACCCTCCGTAGATTTTCAGTGACATTCAAGTCAGGATATTGGCTGGACCTTGTTTTTTAGAAACAAGTCTTGAGTTATTTTGGCTGTGTGTTTTTGCGTAATCTAAAAATGTTTTTAATTAGCTTTTAACTTTTTTTTATTTCTACTGCAAGCATAACACAGATCTCCATTAACTTTTCCATTGGGAATTACTTTTTTAATGTAATTCATTGAAGACGGTTCTGAAATGGTTTTGGAAAAAGTTAGACTGATCCCTGACCTACCAGAATGTGTAGTGCCAGCGACAAATTTTGGTAGAGGAGGGATGATGTTCTGGGGCTGATTTTCAGGGTTCAGGCTTAGTTCCAGTGAAGGGTAATGTTGATGCTACAGCATACAAGAACATTTTAGACAATAATATGCTTCCAACTTTGTGGGAAAAAGCATAACTGTGCCTCTGTAAACAAAGCGAGCTCCATAAAGACGTGGTTTGCTGTGGAGGAGCTGCAGTGGTCTACACAAAACCCTGACCCCACTGAATTAATTAGAACATCAATTGCAAGCCAGACCTTCTAGTTCATCATCAGTTCCTGACCTTGCAAAAGCTTTTTTTGACTGAATAGGCACAAATTCCCTCAGACTCACTCCAAAATCTTGTGAAAAGCCTCCCCAGAAGAGTGGAGGCTGTTATAGCCGCGAAAGGGGGGCATTGCAGCTACATATTAATGGCCTTGGTTTTCGAATGGGATGTCCAGCCAGTTCATATAGAGGTGATGGTCAGGTGTCCACATGCTTTTGGCCATGTAGTCTGTGTGTATGTGTGTATATTCCACATTAATTCTGTGTTTTAAATACATGTTGATGTTCATGAATACATTCATCTTTGTTCTTATTTATAGATGCACAGTAAAAAAATATAATGCACTGGACTGCATAGGTAATGTTTGATAACCCTGAACTTGTTTTTGCCATTGATCATATAAAATTGTTTGGAATTTGGTTTAATTTCAAATCTTACAAATTGGAATCTATTTAATCCACTCATTTTCTGTCGCTCTTTCATCCTCTATTGGTTTTCCCCTCCCCTCCTCCTCTCTCTCCCTCCCTCCCTCTCTGTGACACATTGGCTAACAGAACACCAGGAAGTCCCTCCTACTCAGTTCAGAGAAAACGAAACTGATCTCAGAGAGCTGCTCTCTCTCGGACCAGAAATGCAGGAAAATGGCAGAGGCCAGTATTTCAGTAGCTCACGACCAGTTCAGCTGTCCAGTCTGTCTGGATCTGCTGAAGGATCCAGTGACCATCCACTGTGGACACAGTTTCTGTATGGTGTGTATTAATGGCTGCTGGGATCAGGAGGATCAGAGGGGGGTCTACAGCTGCCCCCAGTGCAGAGAGACTTTCACTCCAAGGCCTGTTCTACGCAGAAACAACATGCTGGCTGAAGTGGTGGAGAAACTGAAGAAGACAGAACTCCGAGCTGCTTCTCCTGCTCCCCGTTACGCTGGACCTGGAGATGTGGAGTGTGATTTCTGCACTGGGAGAAAACTCAAAGCCATCAAGTCCTGTCTGACGTGTCTGGCCTCCTTTTGTGAAACTCATCTTAAACCTCACTATGAAGTTCCTGCACTGAAAAAGCACAAGCTGGTCAAAGCCTCCTCACAGCTACAGGAGAAGATCTGCTCTCAGCATGACAAACTGATCGAGATCTACTGTCGTACTGACCAAAGCTGCATCTGCTATTTATGTACAATGGATAAACACAAAGGTCACGATACAGTCTCAGCTGTGACAGAGAGAACCGAGAAACAGGTGAGACCTAGAAATCATTTGGGTTCAGTTCAGGCTAATTGGGTTTGTAGTCTAGAATGAGCTGCATTAATCAGGTAAACAGATTAAACTGATCTTTCAGTTCTTGAATTCAAGCAGTGAGTTTTCAGAGAAACTGTGCGTAAGGTAGTTTTCAGTAAACAGGTCAGACCAGTCAGTGATCATGTGACCAGCCAACACCCGTCTTCCAGCCTTACAGTGATCACATGACAGTGTATTATAACTGTATAAAACGTGTTTCACCTCTTTTACTTTGTAGGTCTTCATTTACAAAAACTCATCAAATGTATTTGTTCATAGAATCAGCTGAAGGAGATTCAGAGGAAATTCCAGCAGAGAATCCAGGAGAAACAGAAGAAGCAGCAGGAGCTGAAACAGGCTGTGAAGACTCTTACGGTGAGAACTGAGCAGAGATTTGGTGTTTCAGAGTTCAGTCAGTCTCTCCTCCAGTCAGACAGTGAGGAGTTCAGTCTTAAGACACTTTGGGATTCTACACTATCATAATGTAGACAATAAATCCTCCACAGTCTCAGTTAGAGAAGAAATGATTTTCGATTTTAAAAGAATGGTTTTAGTGCAAAATCAGATTTAAGTTAGTCCCAATGTAGCTGACAAATAATGGGAGATACTTTGCACTGCTCATTTGTGCAAACTGGACACCTAAATCAGCACATATTTACCTCAAGTTGCTAAGCAGTCTCAAATAGACTAGTGTTCATGGTTTCAGACACAGTATGACAATCTGTTATCTATAAACACCTACAATAAAACGTGATGTGAGGTTATTTGTCGGAACTGATAACATTTTAAGCAGCATGCATGACAAATAATATGCTATGCTAAATACTTTCTTAGTCACTTTTGAAGCAACACATGCAAAATTTTGCAAGATACTAGATGAGAAGGTCTCCATTTTGCCTTTGAAAGCTACATATGAAACATCTATCTGCAACCTAAACAGCACTGAAAGGATAAAGACAGAGTGAAAAGCCTGAACACAGATTAGTGGTGTAGTCTAGTCTGTAATAGTGAGTGTGCTATGAGTAGTTGTTAGCAAAACTAGCCACGCTAGCACTCATTCAACTTGTAGCACAAAGCAACATGAATAAAACGGTTAATGTTAGCCAGCTGTGTAAAGACCTCTCACACATTAATGGTACATTTATGGTGTAATTTTACTTCACATTTCATCCAAAATCTATTTTATATGTCCAACAAGTAGTTTTACCTAGTTTTCTATGAATATTCATTGTTTAATTATGAACTACAAGGTTAGTTAATACAGCTGTAAGTAACCAACGTTCCCTCAAGGATCCACAAGAAACCATGATATTTTGGGCTCAAACCATGCAATTCATTTAATTCACTGAATTAACTTGAACAATGAAAGACTGGCTTGGTTAGCTAGCTGCACTTGCTAACTCAGCCACATTGGTTTAGCTTTTAATTGGTTTAATTAATTAAAAGTCTTCCATACTGTTTAATGCAGATCCTACAGCTCTTCTAGTGTCTTTAGTTTAGGAAATGGGTAAAAATGTTCTCCCTGGCTGACCAGCATACAAGCATCCAAAACAGAACGTATGCCAGTTTTACTGGTGTCCAGGCGTGCTGAGCTATGCTGTTTTATCTAGCAGCATTTTGACAGATGCTCTTATCCAGAATATCTTACAACTGTAATAATTTTACAGAGATCTGGTGTGTTCTTGTCCTAACAGCGCTGTGCTCAGTCAGCAGTGGAGGACAGTGAGAGGATCTTTACTGAATTGATCCGCTCCATTGAGAAAAAGCGCTCTGAGGTAACAGAGCTGATCAGAGCTCAGGAGGAGGCTGAACTGAGTGGAGCTGAAGAACTCCTGGAGAAACTGGAGCAGGAGATCGCTGATCTAAAGAGGAGACACACTGAGCTGGAGCAGCTTTCACACACAGAGGATCACATCCATTTCCTCCAGGTAACAATCACTGATCTACAGAGGAACCTGCTCCTCATCCAGCTTCTAAAACTCCTCTCAGCAAAAGTTCATTAAGGCAGCAGTGAATCTACCTGTCTGTGATCACAAGTCTGTCTTTAGTCTGATTGGAGCTCCTTCATTTCTCTTGTACTCCTTTATCTTTCTCCACTGTGTTTGTTCTCTCTGTAGAGTTTCCAGTCTCTCTGTGTCTCTTCTGGATCTGAAGACTCACCCAGCATCACTGTCCATCAACACCTCTCATTTGATGGAGTGAGGAGATCTCTCTCTGAGCTGAAGGAGCGACTAGAGGAGTTCTGCAGAGAGGAGTTCAGTATAATCCCTCCACATGGTAAGAGGAGCTGTCCTGCTGTGGAACATAAGGATGGAAAACTGTACTTGAACATAAAAGGGAGACCAAAAGTTTACCAAACACAATAGAAATGATCTAATATGCTTTTGTTCCTTTCATTAGATGGATAGAAAGAATAAAAAAGAAAGAAGTAATGAGGGAAAGTGATAGTAACTAATCTGTATTAATTTAAAAATGGTTGTTTATTTCATTTTTATAAACATTGAATAATATCTGTAAACATTATAATGGGATGAATATTAAATACTATTTGTTTTGTCAGCATGTTTTAACATAAATGTGTCATTTGTACAGAAACACAGTGACTCAACAACCTGTTCAGTTTTACAGTGACAGTCGATATTAGACACTCTTTAATATTTAATACTGAAATGTAAAAGATCTGAATAAACAGTAGAAAAATATATTTTTTCTTGGAATAATTGTTTGTGAATAAAATCAAGCTTATTTGATTGTGTTCTACTAAAAGACGACACACAAAATAAAACACTTTCCTGTTTTAACATGACCATTTGTTTATTTTTATCTGCAAGTCTCACTCAGTCACTCTATTCTATTCCATTCTATTCTATTCTATTCTATTGACTGTGTTGGTCTGTTGTGTGTGTGTGTCTCCACAGCTGCAGCAGTTCAGATTTTATCCTCAGAACCAAAAACCAGAGAAGATTTTCTGCAGTGTATGAGTAACAAACACACACACACACACACACACACACACACACACACACACACAAACACACGCACACTCACACACACACACACACACACACACACAAACACACACTCACACACAAACACACACTCACACACACACACAAACACACACTCACACACACACTCACACACACACAAACAAACACACACACACACACACTCACTCACACACACACAGATATTGTTTGTGTTTCTGTCTTGTTTAAATGTGATTGATCTGTTGTTTTTGGTGAACTTTAAGCAGCATCTAAATTATTCAGTGTAGAGAAGTTTAAGGAAGAAAAACACTGACACTGTATTTTTCTTCAAATAAGGACCTAAAAACGAGCTCATTTTCTTTCTCTGTGTTTTAGATTTCTGTCAGCTGACTCTGGATCCCAACACAGCGTATCGTCACCTCATTCTGTCTGAGAAGAACAGAGTGGTGACATTGAGTAATAAAGTCCAGTCGTACTCTGACCATCCAGAGAGATTTGACTATTGGGATCAGGTGTTGTGTGAGGAGAGTGTGAGTGGACGCTGTTACTGGGAGGTTGAGTGGAGCAGTGAGAGAGGATGGGTGCGCATATCAGTCTCATATAAAGGGATCAGCAGGAAAGGACGGGCTTATGATTGTGTGTTTGGACGCAACAGTCAGTCCTGGAGTCTGCGGTGTTCTTCCTCTCTCACTTTCTGGCACAAAAACATTCAGACAGAAATCTCAGGACCATCATCCTTCAGAATAGGAGTGTATGTGGATCACAGTGCAGGAACTCTGTCCTTCTACAGCGTCTCTGACACAATGACCCTCCTACACACAGTCCACACCACATTCACTCAGCCGCTCTACGCTGGGTTCCTCATTGGTGGTGTTGGATCATCTGTGAGATTATGTGAGAAATAACGATTTATCTATTGAATTATTGTTGCTTTATAGATTTAGAATATTTCTTACACTGTTTTGTTAATAAATCATGTTGTTTTTTAGTAACACATTGATAGATAGAATGTTTTCTTTATCTCAGTGTTCAGTTCAAATGCAGTTTGTTTCAAGACTGTCCAGGGTGTTTCCTGCCTTCCGCTTCCTTTCCTTTGAGGAAACACCTCAGAGCTGAAGAGGCAGCACCTTCACTGCTTTAGAGGCAGCTGATCACTGATTATGAGGCAGCGCCCTCGATAAACATTCAAATAAAATATCATTTACATCAATTTCACTCTTTAACGGATTGACTGTCGCTTCATAGGATCCTGTGTGTTTCGACTCAGATCTCACAGCCTCTACATACGAACAGTGAAGATGAATATCAGACAGACGTGTTGATCATTTTCAAATTCAGCTCCAAATCTGAGATGAGCTTAAAATCATCTACATTTCTGACCATAAACTGAAGCAGATTTGAGCTTTTATACGTTCACACGTTTCTTCACATTTGATGAATTAACTCTGCTTTTCACATCACTGTAAATCACCTGCAGTAGCTGTAAACCCTGTGATGGGAGATGGAGACGCATTTATCTCAGTACTTTTTCAGCAGGTGGAGCTTTAGATTCTTTTTATTTCTGTCAAAGTGGAAACACTTTATATATTTTGATTGACGTTAAACTTGTAAGATGGTTTTAGTCCAAAATCAAGCAATTTCCAGGAAAACTTCCAGGATTTCACTGAAGAATCTGGATTGTTCCTGAACCAGAACCAGTTTGAGTCTTTATATCCAAGTGGAACAATCAAATACTCAGTTTTAATCATATTGTAACCCACGAAGTGTCTTTATTTATCTTATTATTATTATTTTATTATTATTTATTTCATTTATACAGGACTGTTAATTCATTTTCAGACATATATTTGGGCCAAAATCTCTCCACCTGCTGTTTTGCTGTTCGTAAAGCTGAGCTGCATTGAGAGATGATGAATTTTCAGGATTAAATCGGCCATAACTTCTTTATTACTCAATCGATTTTCACCAAATTTGTTTGGTTATAATCCTCAGACATAGATTAATCTAGGCTGTACGGCCTGCTCTTGGTAACTTTTATTTCTTTAATAACTAATCATGCTAATTAGCCGTCCTGCAGAAAAGTATTTAGTCTGCAAAAAAAATGAGTTTAGCGCTCCGGTAGAAACATAATCTCACACACATCAGCACATCCATCAATGTGTCAATCACTTCTAATCTTAATACACATAAAAATAAAACAAACCCACCAAAACACAGTAAGGATGAAAGTGAAGTTGGCTTCTTATTTGCCAGGATCTTGTTTGAATTTTCCCATTCCACCTTAAATGGTGCAGCCGTCACTTTCTGGTGCCAATGTAAACCCTATTACTGTTGTTTTGTGTGCTATTGTGCAAATTATTACTTCTCCCTCAGCTGTGAAAGAAACACCAGGAGCTCAAACACAGACTGGTAGTGTAAACCTGCTCTCATTGGGTGGGAAAGATTTCATTTGGGTTTGAGAGACTTACATCCTCAGTCTAACAGGTGAGATACTTTTACAGCAAGTAAACATGTTTAAGGTGTGTGTGGTCGTCTTGCAGGTTATGGTGATTGGTCCAACATCATTGCGGACTAGGGGTGGGGGAAATTAGATTTTTAGATGCATCGCGATGCGGACGTGGGTGATTCTAAATCGATTCACAAATGTCAAAAACCGATTTTGTAAATTTTAGTTTATAACATAATGTTGACAGAACGCAAAAGGTAACGTGGGAGTGCGGAGGTGCAGCGCCCGGACAGTCTGTGGTGGCAAAAAATAACAAAAACACAACTGGAAAAAACACCCTCTGCATTAAAAGCTAGGTTAGATCAGGAGTCACAACCCAAATGTTAAGAAGAGCCATTTTGTCCTTTCAACATAAATTAAACCACCTTGGGAGCCGCAACAGTCAATGTCCAGGCTGTCTCAGTATGTGCTGATGTCCTAGTATAGGATAAAAATTATAAATGAAAACGCGGATTTACTTCGCTCTGCTTTAAGCTTTAGCTATAGCTGCTTTCCTCCCATCTCCAGCAACTTTTCCTCAAAAGTTGAATAGTTTCTTGTAAAATGTCTCTCAAAGTTCGAGGCTGAAGTCACTTTTCATTCGTTAGCTTCTTGTTCGGATTTTCCCGTTCCACCTTAAATTCTGAATGAGGCGCCAGAATGTAAATGCAGCACTATTTAAGGTGGAACGGGATAATTTGAAAGAGAAGCAACTTCAGCTTCGCAACTTTTTAGCATCTGACAGTCTCTCATTGCAGATTAAACATATCAGGAAACCAACTGCGTTCATCTCTGAACGTTCGTCTTAAATCTCTCTCTTTGCCTTTTCATTAGCTACTAGCTAAGCGAGACTGTCTGAGTTGCTATGTGACCTGCAGTCTGCACGCCAGGGGAAAAGGGACCCGGATAAGAGCCATACTACAGGCGAGATGTGTCACACTAAACTAAAATATTTTGGAAACGACAAACCATCGAGCAAGCGATGTCAAAGCTTCCAGCAAACTCAGAGGCGAATTACAAACTCTATTGCAACTTTTATTACCAAAGATTTGCGTCCGTACTCAGTCGTTAAGAACCAGGGCTTTTGCGCTATGTTGCACACTTTGGAGCTGAGATACAGCGTCCAGTCTCGAAGATATTTTACTGACACAGTGACCACCCCCCCCCACCCCCCCACCCCCGCCCCACACACACAACAAAACCAAAACCGAAGTTATAAAATCCCTAAAGAAAACGGGTAGGACAGCTGTAATGTGGCACGTGGACATCCATTACCACTGGATCTTATGGTACCATAACAGCACATTTTATCACAGATGAGTGGCAGCCAGTGTCTCATGTGCTCCAAACAAGAGCAGTGAATGAGAGCCTTCCAGTTCACTTGCCACATCACTTCCATTTGTTTTATTAATAAAAGATATTGGAAGCAAATTCATTATGGATCATTACAAATATCGTGAGGTGCCTAGAGATTTCCACCTCTCCTGAGACGCATCCTACGCTTGATCCTGGTGAATTCTCCCACAGTCCTGTTCCACTTCTCCAGTGTGAAGCCTCCTCACCCCCCTCACAGCTCAGCACACCTTCCCTCAATTAACACTGAACACCTTCATATCTCACTCCCACCCACATCACTGTCTGATAAGTGTGGAATCGTACACACTTTGTTCAACTTGTTGCGATTTTTAATTCTGTCAAGATTTAACTCGATTTTTGATTTCATTTGCTAAAATTTATTTTTTCTACAAATTTCTAATTATATACAACATTGTATCAGCATATATATGAGAAAAACAAAAAATCAATTTGAAAACAAAAGATTACAAAGAATCATGTCTTGCAAAATAATGATCTTCTCAAATGGTACAACTGAGCTATGAAAATACAAATAACTGAACTATCTCCATTTTCAACACCCAAAACTGAAATATCAATATTATTGTCAAAAAGCACAATTAACATGTTCAAATATGTACACTGAGTTTTACACTTCGCATTATCACCTACAGCATTTTGTGGTGTCCTTAAAAACCGTTCAATGTGAGGCCCTCAGAAGAGACAGAGTATCAGTCTCACTGTTTCAAATGTTTATTTTTTCAATTTTTCAGTGCTGTGTTGATGTTGTTACACCTGCACTGACTGAATATTCTATACTGTTCTTCTTTCCCTCCCAAAATAATATCAAGAACTTTTTACACACACAATGTTCTGCCCTGTTAAACTATTATTTTTCCACTCTTTCTACAGGAGAACCTCAACAGGAGACTCCTTTTCCTCCTAAAAGTTTCAACCAGCCCAAGTTTGATTTCTTAAATGACGTCACCAGCATGTCAGCTGTCAGCTGCAAAGCACTAATCCTTTATTAATGTTCAAGCACTGATTCACCCCCCACCCACCAGTCCTTCTGACCCCTAGAACAGGATCATCACTTACCCCATATGAAGAAATGACAGCCTGGTCTTGAAAATATAATATATATATATATATATATATATATATATATCTTACCAGTGAAATATACAGTAATTTGCTACATCACTGGTTCTCAATCCAGTCCTCAGGGCATTTTGGAATTGAACTTCTCATCATTGGACTACTAGTACACACTTACAACATAAGCGATTTGATGCCTGGTGGCTCCTGGAACAGCTGCCTCTCTCTGAACACAGCCTGGGGATAAGAAATTTGTTAAGCACCTGTACAAGACAATGTAAACACATACCTTTCAACATACTGGCTAAGAGTGTAGCAGTATTGACAGCTCAATTTTGAAATGATGAGCAGTTACTAATATTACTGGACTATAAAAGGGTTTATGGTTATGTAAATGAATCCAAACCCACACAGCTCAGTCCCCAAAATATGAGGAAACAGATTTAAAGATTAACACAACGTTTTGTCAGAATTCTAAACATTTCTGAGTCTGTTGCTTGAGTCTCTCTGTTTGTTCCTCATTCTTATCATTCTCTCTTTCTCCACCCTCTCTAGAACACTTTAACCTACAAAAACACACCCAGTTCAGAGTAAACGACACTGATCTCAGAGAGCTGCTCTCTCTCAGTCTAGAAGTGCAGGAAAATGGCCAGTATTTCAGTAGAACGTGACGAGCTCAGCTGTTCAATCTGCCTGGATCTGCTGAAGCATCCAGTGACCATCAACTGTGGACACAGTTTCTGTTCGGTGTGTATTAACAGACACTGGGATGAGGATGATCAGAGAGGGGTCTACAGCTGCCCCCAGTGCAGAGAGACTTTCACTCCAAGGCCTGTTCTACGCAGAAACAACATGCTGGCTGAAGTGGTGGAGAAACTGAAGAAGAAAGAACTCCAAGCTGCTTCTCCTGCTCCCCGTTACGCTGGACCTGGAGATGTGGAGTGTGATTTCTGCACTGGGAGAAAACTCAAAGCCATCAAGTCCTGTCTGACGTGTCTGGCCTCCTTTTGTGAAACTCATCTTAAACCTCACTGTGAAGTTCCTGCATTGAAAAAGCACAAGCTGGTCAAAGCCTCCTCACAGCTACAGGAGAAGATCTGCTCTCAGCACAATGAAGTGATCAAGATCTACTGTCGTACTGACCAAAGCTGCATCTGCTATTTATGTACAACGACAGAACACAAAAATCACAATACAATTCCAGCTGCAATAGAAAGAACCAAGAAACAGGTGAGAATTACAAACCTTTGAGAATCTTTTTATTCAAATTACATTCTTGAATTTAAGTGCTTGATTTTGAAAAAAATGTATTTAATGTTCTGCTGATAAGGACGTGTTCAACAAACAGGTCAGACCAGATAGTGAATGTCGAACACCCATCTTCAGCCTTATCGTGCTCAGAGATAATCTGTACAGATCAACAGTGATTTTTTATCTTTTTATTTATAGCTGTGGTTCCCATAATCTTTGTAGAACATAATTCAGAAAAGTCACAAACGTCTCGTATGGCAAAAGTCATAAACAGCATTTGTCCCATAGATTCAGCTGAAGGAGATTCAGAGTAAATTCCAGCAGAGAATCCAGGAGAAACAGAAGAAGCAGCAGGAGCTGAAACAGACTGTGAAGACTATTAAGGTGAGCACTGAGCAGAGATTTGGTGTTTCAGAGCTCAGTCAGTCTCTCCTCCAGTCAGACACTGATGAGCTCAGTGTTGCGGCACTTTGAGATCCTACACAGCCACAGTGTGGACAGTACAGTTCATTGCACACTGACCAACCAAACAACAACAACAAACACAAACAAGCAGAAATGTTTGGATGATGTGCCACACCTATGTTAAATTGTAGTCTGGTTCACTCGACTTGTTCTTGATTTGGACAGTCTAAGAAAAACTTCAGAATTATGATGTTTATTACAAAATGTTTGGTGTGGCGTATTTGGGAATGTGGGCTCTAAGTGTTATGTCATACAAACCCCCCTCCCTCTATGTCACAACATATAAAGGACTTAATCTTCTAATTCAGTCCTCCCGAATGAAGTATTTGGCAATAATACAGACTATGTAATGGTGCAGTTATTGCCTCAGCAGTGCAGTTATCATCCTACATATTGCAACACCATCCTGGGGGACCAACTAAACCAGCAGCAGACCAGCTAAACCAGCAAAACACCAAGATGACCTAAGCTGTTGTTTTTGTCAGCATGTACATACACTAAAATCAGACATCAGCTGAGATGTAACAATAAAGATGAGGAAGTACAGAAACAAAACAAACCATCAAGCATCCTAAACCGCCCTGTCACTGCAGACACAAAAATGTTTATAGACTATTAATGTCAATTTTGAAGACTTGGCTGGAAATGGGGATTCTGAACTCTGTCGGGGTCACAGGTCTCAGTTTTAGGGTCTCCCAGGTTTATCTTTTAAATGTCTGGAGCTTTAAATTCAAAATACATTAACAAAATGTGTAAAACCTATGGAATAATCCAGGCCAAATGAAAGCTGGTTACAGATGGATTTGATTATGTAACTTTAACATCGAGCTTCACAGGCTGGAATCAGGTGCAGGTTTATTGCTGCATTTGAAGGATTATAAACATAAATGGACTTGGTTAAAACCTTCAGGAATATCATCAACACTCAGACCAACAAACCAAAAACCCAACCCAGTACTCAATAATGAACTACCAAAGCCACAGATCATGACCGGAAAGAAACAAATAATACAGTGCTTAGAATTACATGGAAGACCAAAACAAGGCTTTGCACTGAACCTTTGTCTTGATACTTCTTAAATACATTACTAAACAGCTACTGATTAGAACAGGTGTAGCACAAATCTCAATATTCAGGGGAGTGAGCCCTCTGTTGGTGTGGAGGAGAACTGGCAACAGATGTGACAGTGGATTCTGACACTGCATAACGTATTTTTGCCTGTAAACATGGACAGAAGTACCTCAGAGCTAAAAACAGTAACAGAAGCCTCAGTTTTACAGATAACATTGTGTCAGTGTCACAACTAACATAGGCAATTTCTCAGCAAGTCAATTTGAGATTACTTACTGCTCATTGAGATTTTAAATATGTGTACTTGGGTATTAAGGTTTTAAAAATTATTATTAGTAGTAGTAATAATAATTATAATAAGAGAGGCGCCATTTTAACAGGACAAAATAGTCACTGAATGATGTACATTTGGTGATTAACACTAATGCTGCGTTCACATCTTTGCGCAAAATAACATTGTTCACCGCCTGCAGTACACAGCCGTCAGTGGCATGAAGCCAAGTATTGCAGCTCCGCTGAAAACAATGGAATGTCCGGTTTGCTGTTGTCCGTTTATAGTGTTACAACATCAAAGCGCTATGCCAACACTGGAGAGGAAAGCAGAGAAAAGCTTTATGTTTGTGGTCCAGATGGTCTTTGAGTTGGGACTTAAGCGGTTTGGCTGTTACCATCAGTCTTTAGTGGATTTTCCTGAGAATCGCGGGGAAAAGACCCACTGCACCTTGCAGGTCCAGACGTTTTCACGCATCATCTTGTCTTTTGACCTGAAGTTTTCTGATGGAGATCAAAGTGGGATCAGTCAGAGAGTTGGAGCCAGAGGTCCAACTCAGAAGTTGATGATTAGAGGAGACCCCCAATGTACAAGTTTCAAAGAAAAATTTGAAGTGCTGTGACTTAATAGGGTTTTGGTGTGTGGAGTGTCCCAGTCCCTGTCACATCTGGTCTTCAATGCTGATTAGCTCTTCTTCTGGATGTTTGGGGTGATATTTCAATCTCACCATTCCCAAAGGCATGTCTTTTGATAACTGGACATAAAGACAGATCATGTCCAGATCATGCCACTGGTGTATCACGAGAACTTTGAAAATCATTCTATTGTTTCTAACATGATTTTATATTGAAATGAAACACAATATCTTTTATATATTTCACAATCAAGAAAAAAATTAATTACACATTTGACACAACAGTGTGGGAAGAACTGTGTGATCCTTATGGGGAGAACACTGACAGTCTCACACACTGTATAACAGATTACATTAACTTCTGCTAGAGAGGCTGATCCTTACCCCCTCTGGTAAGCTCATCTATGGACCCACTTCAGTTCGCCTATCAACCTGGCATTGGAGTGGATGACGTGGTCATCTACCTCCTACACAGAGCTCTTTCTCACCTGGAGAAGCCTTAGAGCACTGTGAGAGTCATATTCTTTGATTTCTCCAGTGTCTTTAACACTATACAGCCTAGACTTCTGAGGAATAAACTGGACAACACTGGGGTGGTTCACAACCTAACAAATTGGATACTGGACTATCTCACCAATGACCACAGTATGTGAGGGCACAGGACTGTGTGTCTGACATGGCGTTCAGTAGTACAGGGGCCCCACAGGGAACAGTCCTGGCACCATTCCTCTTCACTCTGTACACTGCAGACTTCATGTAAATGCTACATTTGAGGTGGGGGGGGTTGTTAATTTGACTTCTCTCCTAACTCTTCCTTCAAACATACTTCCATACTAATTGTTCTTGTCCTAACAGCTCTGTGCTCAGTCAGCAGTGGAGGACAGTGAGAGGATCTTTACTGAACTGATCCGCTCCATTGAGAAAAAGCGCTCTGAGGTAGCAGAGCTGATCAGAGCTCAGGAGAAGGCTGAACTGAGTGGAACTGAAGAACTCCTGGAGACACTGGAGCAGGAGATCGCTGATCTAAAGAGGAGACACACCGAGCTGGAGCAGCTTTCACACACAGAGGATCACATCCATTTCCTCCAGGTAACAATCACTGATCTACAGAGGAACCTGCTCCTCATCCAGCTTCTAAAACTCCTCTCAGCAAAAGTTCATTAAGGCAGCAGTAAATCTACCTGTCTGTGATCACAAGTCTGTCTTTAGTCTGATTGGAGCTCCTTCATTTCTCTTGTACTCCTTTATCTTTCTCCACTGTGTTTGTTCTCTCTGTAGAGTTTCCAGTCTCTCTGTGTCTCTTCTGGATCTGAGGACTCACCCAGCATCACTGTCCATCAGCACCTCTCGTTTGATGGAGTGAGGAGATCTCTCTCTGAGCTGAAAGAGCGACTAGAGGAGTTCTGCAGAGAGGAGTTCAGTAAAATCCCTCCACATGGTAAGAGGAGCTGTCCTGCTGTGGAACATAAGGATGGAAATCTTTCCTTGAACAGGAAGAGTAAAGGTGAGCCAGATGTTTCGCAAACTGTATAGAAGTTGTACTAATAGGCATAATAATTTAGTGTTTAAATTTGTTTGAATTTATTAACATTTCAAGACAGCAAAAAGACAAATAATCTAACAGTAACAAAAACCTGTGAGATAACATTTCTTTATTATTGTAGTCCATTAGATTTTTTGAAACAGAATTAGTAAGCTATATTGAAATACAGTAAAAAATGTCTGTGGCATGCGCCCACGCCCCGGGCCCCGACGATGACGGCTGCGAGAGCCCGCAGGAAGGCGGGGCCCGAACACCCAGCGGCGACGAACCTCTTCGAGGACGACATGGATAGAGCCGCGAGTGGGAAGGGGGCAGAGCGCAAAGCCCAAGCTCCACCTAGGGACGCCAGTCACGTGAGAGACAGCGGGAGGAGGACAAGGACGATGGTGCCGGCCACAAGGCCATGGAGCGAGTCCCAAGCACCCGGGCCCTGCCCCCTGTTCCCCAGCGAGGCCTCTTCACGATACCTCACGTTTGACCCGAGCGGCTGAGCTGCAAGCAGGGGGCGGTGACGTGGAGGCGGAGCAGCGATTAATGAGCACCTTAATCAGAGCCAGCTGGTGCTGATCTGGCTGGCAGTGTGAGCACCTTTTAAAAGAGCTGAGAGGGAACAGAGTGAGAGAGAGGGACAAGCAGCAGCCACAAAGACTGTAGAGCTGAAAAGCTGTAAGGATAAAGGACTGAAAAGTCTAGCTGTTCCTTGAGGCCACTGTAAATGGCCAGCTTAGCAGAGCTTATTTGGTTTTGTTTGAGTTTATTATTATTTGGTGTGCAAATAAAGTAATGGCTGCTGCAACCCTGAACTCTGCCTCCATGCCATGCTACATTGGTGCCGAAACCTGGGAAGAGGACGCCAACACACTGAGGAAGTCTCCACGGCAGAGGAAGAGGCCATCACGACCCTGGTCCATCTGCACCTGGCCGGCTGGCGGGAGCTACAGGCTGTTTTCCAGGATGCTGAAAAGCACTGGAAGCAGCTTGAGGAGCAGCAGGTGAAGACCCATCAGATGGTCAGGAGCCTGCTGGCAGAGTGGCAACCCTCGGTGTGCGTGGGGGCAGGAGCCCCCCTCTCACCACCCCTCAAGCCTCCAGTCCCAGCTCCCAGGAGGACTGGAGCCCTTTCTCCCCCTCCCATCCCTGCGCCCCGACGATGATGGCCACGGGAGCCGGCAGGAAGCAGTGAGCTTTCGTTCCCTCTCAGCTCTTTTAAAAGGCGCTCTCCCGAGCTGAGAGGGAACGAGAGCTTGCTGCTCCGCCTCCACGTCACCACCAGCTTGCAGCTCGGCCGCCCGGGTCGAACGTGAGGTATCGTGAAGCGGCCTCGCTGCGGAACAGGGGGCTGGCCTCGTGGCCAGCACCATCGTCCTCGTCCTCCTCCCGCTGTCACTCGCGTGACTGGCATCCCTAGGTGGAGCTCGGGCTCTGCGCTCCGTCCCCTTCCCACTCGCGGCTCTCTCCCTGTCGTCGCCACTGGGTGTTCGGGCCCCGCCTTCCTGCGGGCTCTCGCGGCCGTCATCGTCGGGGCCTGGGGGGCAGGCGCATGCCACAATGTCCAACCCTGTATATTTCATATTTTATAGTTTAGACAGACCCAAAGACATGTAAAATGTTGACTCATTTAAAGAAGAACTGTCAGAACTGTGACCATCAACATTAGGCAGCCTAAAATATTCGGCTCTGAATAAACCAATGGAAGTTATATTTTTATATTCATATTACAAAAATTACTTTTGAGTAAAATCTTGCAAAATTGTTCTGCCCTAATAATAGATGCCATGCATATTTACACAGTGTAGAGGGAGAGAGTCTCAGTGTAGAGAGAGAAAAAGAAATGAGGAGAATCTTCCTTTTAGCACTGACTGATCTTCCCTAAAATTTAGATTAGAGTTACTACTGAACCAAAATAATATATCTTCCACTTTTAATATGATCATTTTTATCTTTTTATCTGCATAAATCTCACTAATTCACTGTATTCTATTCTATTGACTGTGTTGGTCTGTTGTGTGTGTGTGTGTGTCTCCACAGCTGCAGCAGTTCAGATTTTATCTTCAGAACCAAAAACCAGAGATTTAATGCAGTGTACGGGTAACACTCACTCACACACACACACACACACACACACACACACACACACACAGATATTATTTATATTTCTCTTCTGTTTAAATATGATTGATCTATTGTTCTTGGTGAACTTTATGCAGCCTCTAAAATATTCACTGTAGAGAAGTTTCAGGATAACAAACACTGACACTGTATTTTTCTTCAAATAAGTATATAAAAAAATTCTCATTTTCTTTTTTCTTTCTTTAGATTTCTGTCAGCTGACTCTGGATCCCAACACAGCATTTTGTCGCCTCATTCTGTCTGAGAAGAACAGAGTGGTGACGCGGAGTGATAAAGAGCAGCCGTACAATGATCATCCAGAGAGATTTGACAGCTGGTCTCAGGTGTTGTGTAAGGAGAGTGTGAGTGGACGCTGTTACTGGGAGGTTGAGTGGAGCCGTCGGGGAACTGTGTACGTATCAGTCTCATATAAAGGGATCAGCAAGAAAGGTTGGGGTAATGACTGTTTGTTTGGACACAACAGTCAGTCCTGGAGTCTGCAGTGTTCTTCCTCTCTCTCTTTCTGGCACAACAACATTCAAACTAAGATCTCACGTCCATCATCCTCCAGAATAGGAGTGTATGTGGATCACAGTGCAGGAACTCTGTCCTTCTACAGCGTCTCTGACACAATGACCCTCCTACACACAGTCCACACCACATTCACTCAGCCGCTCTACGCTGGGTTCTGGGTTAATGGTGTTGGATCATCTGTGAGATTATGTGAGAAATAATGATTTATCTATTAAATGTGACTGTTACTTTATAGATACACTCAGAATATTATTTACACTGTTTTGTTAATGAACCATGTACATTTTTAAATAGACAGAATCTTTAACAATCCTGGAGAAAATTTCAGGCTTATCACAAATACAGTTCTGTACAAAATTACAAAGTTGTAAAATTCATGTACAGTATCAGTCAAAGGTTTGGACACACTTTACTGCATATATTTACTAATCAGGCATAAAATTATGACCACCTCCTCGTTTCTACGCTCATTGTCCATTTTATCAGCTCCACTTTCCATATAGGAGCGCTTTGTAGTTCTACAGTTACAGACTGTAGTCCATCTGTTTCTCTGCATACTTTGTTAGCCCCCTTTTACCCTGTTCTTCAGTAGTCAGGACCTCCATGGACCCTCAAAGAGCAGGTACTATTTGGGTGGTGGATCATTCTCATCACTGCAGTAACACTGACGTGGTGGTGGTGTGTTAGTGTGCATTGCGATCGGTGTATATTATCATCTTAATATATATTTAATATATATAGGCTTTTATCATCTTTTTATGATTGCTTAAGCACGTTTTTGAAACAGGGCTCATTTTGTCCAAACACTACACACAATTCACACAGCCACACACACAAGTGGGAGATCTATTGGAGCAAAACGTCATTCAAAACTATACAATAATTTATAAAAACCCGGTTTTGTCACTGTTTGGCTCAAACACAGTTCAAATGATCTGATTCTGTTTGAACCAGTTACACACAGCTGCGTTCAGCCTAAAACACCTTTAACATTTCTGCTTCTCTAATAAGACAGTCTGGGTTTTAATTTTACTGTTAAAGTACATGAATAATCAAACACAACACACAAGACCAGCACTGCACACTGATGAACATGTTTACTACTCTCCGCATTATAACATACATCAATACATCTTTGCAATTCCAAAGGCTGCTTTTTGCACTGAAATTCAGAAAAGAACATTTTCTAGATAGAATATAGTTCATAAACACAGCAAAAATGTGGAGATAAAAAGGAAGCATGAATAAAAAAACTCACCTGTTGCCTTTTCATAGTGCTCCTTCAGTGTCAGGTTTCATGAACCTTGTATTATTTTTAATTTTACTATGTAAGCAATTGTAAAAAAAATCTGTAAATGCATTTTATCTCATGCTTTAATTCAAATAAAATTTGTTTCAAGACAAATATACTGTGTCTAAATTATAGAAGATATGTGTAGTTTTTTTAAATGGCCCCAACAGGTGGTTTTCAGCAACAACAAGGTCTCAGCTTGTGAGTCTCTTCAGTACTGTTGGAAAAGCGTCTCAGGCGGCTCCTCATGAAGCTACTGGAGAGAATGATCCAGAGTGGGTTAAACTGCATCAAGGTAAAGGGGGGCTACTTTCTAAAAGATCTAAAGGAGAAGATAGTTTGATTAGTTTAACACTGTTTTGGTCTCTGTGTGATTCCATGTGTGATATTTCATACTTTTGACGTCTTCACTGTTATTCTAATATGTAAGATGGTCTAAAAGATGAAGACCCTTCTATGAGTCGGTGGCTCCAAACTGTTTCTGTACATTGTTCAGAAGCTGGTGATGAAGGTGTTGCACAGTGAAAGTGTTTATATTTGTGTGTGAAATAAACTCCACCTGCCTGAAATAAAGAGAGGGGTCAGCATGATAACTGACCACCATGACAAAGCACTCTTACAACCACTGATAACACTTTACAATAATGACAGTTTATAAGACATCTATTCGTTTTTACTTCATAATTAACTAATCATGAACTATTCAGGTATTTATTCATCATTAAATATTGACATAATGAACTTCTACTTCATAACTAACTAACCAGCAACTGAATCATTATTAGTTAATAAAAGTATCAGTGTACATTTGTTAACATGTGTTTATATTGTTTAGTTTATGTCTTAATAATTAACAAATCAGAAATTCAGATGTGATCTGCTACTAATGTAGCGCCCCTACACCGGGTCATGGTAAATATCTGAACTTGGCTAAATGTCCCGTTAGGGCGCCCTGGGTTCTGTTAATGTGGTTTAGTAGCTCTGAATGAATTTACTGCTTGTTTATGGGTAGGTTCTAGCTTAAGGATTGTAAAAAGTATACCTTGGCGGTGCCTCCAATAAATTAGGTAGACGGGAACTATGCTAGTACCCCCTTGTGATGAAAAAAACAGCACTTAGAATACTTACATGTAGGATGTATATAGGTATTGGATTTAATACACCCCAAAGACACAATATAAACCCCCTCAAGAAAATAAAAGGGTAAACTCACATAGAAACTGTATGGCTCAGACATCTCTAATTCACAAACCTGCTCTCAAAAGAGTTTAAACCAAATGTATAGCTTGAAAGTAAGGCAAGTTTATGACAGAGCTATTGTTCTCACCTTTTGTTAGAAACAATCCTCAACTCAAAGTGCATATATTCAAATTCTAATACAACTGAACTGTGCAGTGGGCCCACGCATGCGCACTCTCTTACACTCTCAAAACCTGCATTTAACCCCTTGTTCCCGTTGCAGGCCTGGGTCGTTGCTAGGGTGCGTCGTGGCCAAAAAAAAACACAATGGCCCCTTCACTCTCACGAGCCAACAAGATAGTTAAACAGTTGTTCTAACTCACTGTGTTGCTGAACTCTCTCTCTCTCTCTCTCTCTCTCTCTCTCTCTCTCTCTCTCTCTCTCTCTCTCCCTCCCTCCCTCCCTCCCTGGCAGCAGCGTCGCTCGGGGGGGGTGCGGGTGGTGTGCTCGCGTGTGCTCGCGGGGCTCGGAGCGGCTAGGCTAGTCGGCTGAGGCGGCTAACAGTGCAGACTCCCACGGTGCCAGTGGAAGTTTGGGCTTTCCGGTCACCCAAACCGCTAACTGGTGATGGCTGAGCGTTGAGCGAGGTCTATAACTAACTGGGTTGGACAGAAGAGGGCTTAGTTGAGCTAACCAAAAAGTCCAATACTAGCTATCACACGAGGCTGGCGGCCAGTCTGAGCTAGGCTAGCGGGCAGTTCAATGAGTGTCGAACTTGTTAGCTAAACTGCTATAAGTACCAGTAATTACACAACATTACCATCTCTCTCCTTGTCTCGCAGTTGTTTTCGCGATATCGAGCTGATAACACGACTGTAATATTAGAGCGGTGGTTCCGTTAATCACAGAATCACCGTGGAACTTTCTCGCTCTTTCCCTTCCCCCCTCGTCCCCCTAGCCCCCGCCCCTTTCTCCCTGCACAGCCACTGACAGAGAGCTCAGGGCACGAACTGAAACCAAATTAAAAGAAGGGAGAAGAAATAAAGATAAAGAATATAACATAGTTTATCAATATTAAACCAAATTTATATGAACTATTTTAAAGGAACAAAACTCCTATGACTGATTATTTAGCAAGGTTACACTAATAAATATATTTTGTAAGTATTTACAAACATTGAAATAAAATAATAAAAATTTTGGCTACAAATGCAGTGTTTCTTTTGTAAACTAAAGAAAGCTAAAGAAAAAAGAAGGATCTTTGAGACGTCTATTGACACGTCTACACTGGTGCACTACAATCACAGCGGCTCCACCAGAAACACCCCACCCCCATTCATTTTGTCTCAGGTTGCCAGATTGGGCAGGTTCTCAAAATTTGGTTGGATGTTGGTTGGATTCCAGGCCTCCAAATGATTTGATAAACATTAACAAAAATTTTTTTTGGTCATGATTTACAATGTATAAGTAAAATGTAAACTATCGGCAACATTTTGCAGCCCACAATGTAAAGTGAAAACAATTCACTTTAAATACTATCTATAAAGGCATTAACAAACTTCTTTACGCTAGAACAGGAGGTATTACCCAATAATTGGCCTCAATAATCAATCATATCTATCCTTCCTTCACAACTCCATTTGTGACAGAGGACAAGACCACTGTTAAGGATGTATCTGTAAGTAACTTAATGCAAAAACAAACACAAAGCATGAAGTAAATGAAGCCAAACTGAAACATTAGAGACAAGAATAGCAACCACCTGGGAAACTAGGGTCACAAACTATAAGTCAGTGAAAATACTAATGAGACAGGGCTACATGGGAGGGGACAGGAGAGGGCAAAGCCAGGAACAGGACACTGACATCACTTTACACTGAGGCAGCCAAAGTAACTTGTATGTCATTTGTAAACAAAAAACAAGTAACAGTTTATATGTGTCTCAAAAAGTAATGTTAATATATTAAATAACATTGAAAAAACTGAATATTTTATTAGTTTATTACTAATCAATTAAAGTAACACTTAATGTGTTAGTAAGTATCATTATTATTAAGTGTTACATAATTTCTATAATGGACTTGTTAAGAAATATTGGACTTCAGGGGTGAAACGGAACAGAACCAGCCAAATGTGGGAAAAAATAAATGAGGCTTTACTTAGAAAGGGCTTGATAGTATGGAATGAGCGTGAGACTCAATAACGAGAAAGCAAGTCTAGCTTATATGTAATGTAATTGAGTTTTTCAATTATCTTGAACAGACCAACGTATTTAGGATTTAGCTTTTTACTTCTGTTACGACCCCTGGTCGTAATATACCCTTTGTGTTCCTTGTGCTGGCATTTTGTGTTTTCCCTGTTGTGTGTTATGTGCAGGTACATGATTGCCCAGATGGGGGCACACTGAGGTATAAGAGGTCGCCAAGCCACCATCTTGATAGACATTCAGGGCTTTCTCCCCTCTGACCTGACCTGGAAGAACCTCTCCAGACCAGTCCGGCACTCTTCACACCTCTCTTTGCTTTTATGCAAGCTTTGTTACACTCTGCAATACTCGATGTGAATACTTGGAAGGTAGGGGACGAGAGCCATTTTGTTTTGATTACTGTTTCTCTTGGTTTTAAAGCAGGGAGATAGAGTAGCCTTTTGTATTTTGTTTGGTTTGTTTTCAGGTTTACTTAGTTTTTCTTCATCAGTAGTAGTTTTGTTTGTTATTTTGGCATACACTCATCCCCAAAGCCAATTACTTACATTCAGTTTGGCCGCTTGCAAACTTGCATACTTTCATCAAAGTTTCAATAAATCTATCAGAGTGGATGTCCTCTGGGATGCCGAAATGTCTAAATACCTGGTGGAACAAGGTCTCAGCAGTCTGAAATGTGGTAAGTACTGAAGCAAAGGGGATGAATCTTAACACTGTGTGATAATAATGTCTATTACAGTGAGTACAGTTGTAAACCCTTGTGATTCTGGAAGGTCTGTGACAGTCAAGTGCAATGTGGGACAAGGG